CAAGTAGCTGGGACTACAGGTACACACCAGCATGTGCCGCTAGTTTTTTTATGTTTAGTAGAGTCATGGTTTTACCATGTTGCCCAGGCTGGTCTCCAAACTCCTAAGCTCAAACAGTCTGCCCACCTCAGCCTCCCAAAGTGCTGGAATTACTGGCATGAGCCATTGCACCTGGCCTCACTATAGCCTTAAACTCATGGGCTCAAGTGATCCTCCAGCCTCACCTTCCAAGTAGCCACACCTGGCTAATTGATTTTTTTTTTCTTTTTTGAAACAGAGTCTCACTCTGTTGCCTAGGCTGGAGTACAGTGGTGTGTGATCTCAGCTCACTGCAACCTCAGCCTCCCAGGTTCAAGTGATTCTCCTGCCTCAGCCTCCTGAGTAGCTGGAATGACAGGCGTGCATCACCACGCCCAGCTAATTTTGGTATTTTTAGTAAAGATAGGATTTCACCATGTTGGCCAGGCTGGTCGTGAACTCCTGACCTCAGGTGATCCACCCACCTCGGCCTCCCGAAGTGCTGGGATTACAAGTGTGAGCCACCATGCCTGGCCTGTGTGTTCGTTTTTTGTAAAGGGTTTTGCTTTGTTACCCATACTCGTTTCAAACTTCTAGGCTCAAGCAATCCTCCCACCTCAGCCTCCAAAGTATTCGGATTATAGGTAGGAGCTACCTTGCCTGGCCCTGAACTTCTTATCCTAAGCATAATGCTGATTTGGTTCAAATCTGAACCTGGTTTCTTGAGAAGGCAGGCATCCTACCCAGGCTATTATGGGTGTACAGTTATAGCCCTAGTAACTACCCAGGGTATAGATAACCATCCAGACTGGTGCTGTCCAGTGAAATATAACACAAGCCAAATATGTAATTTTAAATTTCCTTTTTTTTTGTTTTAGATGGAGTCTTGCTCTGTTGCCCAGGTTGGAGTGCAGTAGCTCGATCTTGGCTCACTGCAAGCTCCACTTTCCAGGTTCAAGCAATTCTCCTGCCTCAGCCTCCTAAGTAGCTTCAATTACAGACGTGCATCACCACGCCCTGCTGATTTTTGCATTTTTAGTAAAGACAGCGTTTCACCATGTTGGCCAAGCTGGTGAAACCCCATCACCTGGCCTCATTTTAAACTTTCTGGTAGCCACATCAAAAAGGAGAAAGGTTGGCTGAGCAAGTGGCTCATGCCTGTAATCCCAGCACTCTGGGAGGCCAAGGTGGGTGGATCACTTGAGGTCAGGAGTTTGAGACCAGCCTGGCCAACATGGTGAAACGCTGTCTCTACTAAAAATGCAAAAATCAGCAGGGCGTGGTGATGCATATCTGTAATCCAAGCTACTCAGGAGGCTGAGGCAGGAGAATCGCTTGAACCTAGGAGGCATAAGTGGCAGTGAGCCAAGACTTTTTGCACACCTGCACTCCAACCTGGGAAACAGAGCAAAACTGTCTCAAAAAACAAAAAAAATTAATTATTAATGAGATGTAATTTTTTGTGCTAAGTGTTTGAAAACTGGTATTTTATCCTTATAGCAGCTCTCAGTTTCGAGCAGCCACAGTTCAAGTGCCCAGTAGCCATAAAGAACTGGTGGCTGACAGTGCAGTTTCAGACCAACTTTAGCTCCATTTGGTGACCTGCAGCAGCCTCTTCCAATGCATCCCCATTTTCAGATTATTTCCCCACTGGTCCTAAATGCCCCAAGGGTGGGAGAAATGGAAAAAGCCATGATGCACACTGGATGTCCCTGCCTGCCACATGCCAGTTGGCAAGAAGCCAAAACTGCTAGGGATCACTGCAGATCTGGTGACAATAGGTTCAGCGACATCTCAGTATTTGAGCACAGATCACCCCCAGGGGAGGCAGGTATAGATTCCACTCCTCAAAACCCTCCCAGTGGCTTCCTGTCGCACACCCAAGAAAGTTCAAGCTCTGTAGTCCACCACCTGGCACTGATTCACCTAATGTCCAACTTTTCTTTTCTTTTCTTTGGGACTGAGTCACACTCTGTCACTGAGGCTGGAGTGCAGTGGTGCTATCTCGGCTCATTGCAACCTCTACCTTCTGGGTTCAAACGATTCTCATCCCTCAGCCTCCAGAGTAGCTGGCGTTGCAGACGTGCACCATGTGTATTGGTGTATTGGCTACTTTTGTATTTTTAAGAGACAGGGTTTCACCATGTTGGCCAGGCTGGTCTTGAACTTCTGACTGCAAGTAATCCACCCACCTCAGCTTCCCAAAGTGTTGGGATTACAGGTGTCAGCCATTGCACCCAGCCCACCTTTTATTTTTCACAACATCCCTGTAGGGACCTTAGCTAAAGCCAAGCCAAAGCAACAGGGCACCCCACAAACACGCCTTGCCTTTTCCTACCTCCATAAATTGTGTGTGCTATTTATTCTCAGAATGTTCTTACCTACTAAATTCCACCCAATTCTGAAGACCCAGTTCTTGGTCTCTTCCCTGAAGACTTCTGTAACGACTCCTGACTGAAGGGTCTTTATACCTTCCTCTGCCATCTGTAGCACATTTATCAGCAATAACCAGGGCAGGTGGTGGTGTATTTCAGAACACACCTTATTTGCCTTTCCCTTTAGCTTGTAAACACCCAAAGGGCAGGGGTAAGAGTCTTAGGTGATAATAGTAATGATAATAAATAATGAGTAATCTCTGCTGAGCACTGTTTCAGGCCTATGCTAGGCACTTTAAAGTTGATAAATGCCTCAGAAATTATTCCCATTTTATAGGTGAGAAAACAGAAGTAGAGAGAAGTAACTTATCTTCAAAGATGGGCAGTTTGAGTGCAGAACCTAACCACCCCCACCTAACCATGGGCTCTACCACCTTGCTTGCTGTGGTTGTTCATTCTGGGTTTTGTTTTTTTTGAAACAGAGTTTTGCTTTTGTTGCCTGGTGCCTGGGCTGGAGTGCAATGGCTCGATCTCAACTCATTGCAACTTCCAATCCCAGGTTCAAGTGATTCTTTGGTCTCAGCCTCCTGAGTAGCTGAGATTACAGGCACCTGCCACCATGCCTGGCTAATTTTTTGTATTTTTAGTAGATACATGGTTTCACCATGTTAGCCAGGCTGGTCTGGGACTGCTGACCACTCAGCTGATTACCCCTATCTTGTCTCCTGCTAAATCACAGAGATTTGGGGAGTACCGTCAGGCTCCCAATAAACTTGTTTGTGGAGCCCTAGGGAGTTTCTTCAGACCCCCATCAAGTTTGCTTAATCCTAAATGGATCCTGTTAGGAATTCCTCTGTTATTTTGCCGTGCTTTAAGGCCCGGGAATGGCGTAGACACAGCTCTTGGTAAGCTTGTGTTACATTCCGGTCTTTGTATAAGGGCACTGGCTCTTTCAGCTTTTTAACTTAAGTACTCAGTTAAGTCTGAAATAGTTGAAAGAGTACTGGAACAGTTTTCTGTTTTTGAGACGGAGTTTCGCTCTTGTTACCCAGGCTGGAGGGCAATGGCGCGTCCTCGGCTCACCGCTACCTCTGCCCCCTGGGTTCAAGCAATTCTCCTGCCTCAGCCTCCCGAGTAGCTGGGACTACAGGCACACGCCACCATGCCCAGCTAATTTTTGTATTTTTAGTAGAGATGGGGTTTCACCTTTTTGACCAGGATGGTCTCGATCTCTTGACCTAGTGATCCACCCGCCTCAGCCTCCCAAAGTGCTGGGATTATAGGCGTGAACCACCCTGCCTGGCCAGAACAGTTGTTAGGGAGGACTTCGTTAGTGAGACTTGGCCTGCCACACCATTATCTTGCCACTGCACTCTAGCCTGGGTGACAGAATGAGTCCCAGTCTCAAAAGAAAAAAAAAAAGAATGCCCTGTATTCACACAGCCACCGCAGGACTGGACCTTCATGAACAGTGCAGCATGGCTCATTCCTCTGCATCCCAACCCCTGCTCAGCATCTGCAGCGTGGGGCACAGAGCAAGCACACCCGCCAATGCTGCTCTAGTCAGTAGACGGCAGCTTTCTTCTCAGCCCTCGGCGTTCAGCTTGTGCACAGAAGACGTGAATCTAGATAATAGGAGCAAAGATCTTCTCCACAGGACACAAGTAAACCACCCCTACCCCACCCACCTCTGTCCACCTTATCTGCTTACCTGGAGCTCTGATCTCTAACAGGCAATTTAATCCTCCCTTGTGAAACCCAAAAGTCACATACCCATTCCCCAGGGAGCTGGGTGATAAGAAAGCACAGTTTAGGATTACTCTCTGGTAAGAGTCTTGCTTAAACAAGATCACATACAAAAGGCTGTCTGATCCCCACACTCTTCTCCCCTGGCTCCCCTCTCTCCTTTCTTCCTCTCCTGCTTGTAAGATTTCAAGATTGTGCAACCCGCCCCAGAGACTTGGGCTCTGAAAGACCTAATGCAAATTGCTTTTAGACACACACATTTCTTTCCCAGCCCTCTGTGGTCTTCCACTCCCCACCCAGCACGCCTCGCCCTTACCCTCTACCTGAGAGTTGACCCTTGGGGCTCCCCCAGGGGCTGATTGCCCGGTTCTGCTCCTGGCCATTTCCCATTGGCACTTGCTCATTTACATTTTAAAATTAGAGCAAAGTTCGACACTGTGGTTGGCTTTACTACTCTATGACTTGCCCTACCCTGGTGAGAAAAATGCAAACAATAGCAACCTGGGAAAACTTTCCTCCTAAAATAGTGCAGCCCCCACAGCATTCTGGCAACAGGTTGCTCTGTGGTGATTCTCTGGCTCTGGGCTGATGGAAACACTCAGGGATGTAAATAGCAGTGAGAAAAGGCCACTTGTGCCACTATGAGGTTTTGTGTGGGTGGGTTCTTCTCCCACCCCAATCCCACCTAAGCTCTCTATTTTTGTTTTGCTTAAACTTCAGCTCCCAGCATAAACATCGAGGGTTGAAGTTGCATTCTGCTCTGGACCTGTGAGTGCAGGGTGAGGGGTTGTGGTGTCCTATTTCTCCTGCCATGTCCCAGCCCCTCGGTTTCAGTCTCCCCACTGTCCTCCCAGATCCTACCTTCTGAAGGTCAGTTCCCTCTGCTGCAAAGCAGGAGTAACAGCACTCATTGGGAGGGTTGAATGAGTTGGCAAAGCCCGTGCCTGGCACAGTGCCAACTGTGGCAGGCTGCAGTGTTTCAGGCCATGATTAGGACTGGGTTGTGGCAGTGATACGGGTGCACACAGTGATGAGGAAGCAGGCAGTGGGGACCCTCTTAGCAGTCCCCGGCCACACAGATGCGTGGCAGGACCAGGAGGTGGGGGGCCTCAGGCTGAAGTGGCCAGCTCCCCCACTCCTCCTTGTTTGTAGGATTCCAGGCCAGCGCCTGGCAGCCCTTCAGCACGGAACTTCTTGTGCATTCCACAGCAACTGAAAGGGCTTTTGTCCCCACACAGGAAGAACAAATAACAAAGGCAATTGTATGTCTTCCCACGGACCCACACAGCAGGCTTGGGAAGAGAAACTTCTTTCCCCAAGAGTCCAGCTTTGCTGGAGCAGTTGCAGTCACAGATCAAACTGTCGCACAGCTCTGGAGGAGAGTGGTGTCTGAGCTGCCACACATGTGGCAGGATGCTCATCACACGCCCAGCACACACACTCACACTCACATGCACAAACTCCAACACAACACTCCTGCCCAGACTAGCTGGGCAGTGAGCCACATATGCTGCAGCTGCAGGGGCTCAAGAGAGCATCACACCCACCCCTTTCAGTAGGTTATGGCTTTATTATTCCCTGATATGGTTTGGCTGTGTCCCCACCCAAATCTCATCTTGAATGGTAGCTTCTATAATTCCCATGTGTTGTGGGAGGGACCCAGTGAGAGATAATAGAATCACGGGGGCAGTTTCCCCCATATTGTTCTCATGGTAGTGAATAAGTCTCAGGAGATCTGATGGTTTTATAAGGGGAAACCCCTTTTGCTTGGCTCTCATTCCCTCTTGCCTGCTGCCATGTAAGACATGCCTTTGCTCCTCCTTGCCTTCCTCCATGATTGTGAGGCCTCCTCAGTCATGTGCAACTGTGAGTCCATTAAACCTCTCTTTCTTTATAAATTACCCAGTCTTGCCTGGCGAGGTGGCTCATGCCTATAATCCCAGCACTTTGAGAGGTCGAGGTGGGCGGATCATGAGGTCAAGAAATCGAGAACATCCTGGCCAACATGGTGAAATCCTGTCTCTACTAAAAAAAAAAAAATTAGCTGGGCGTGGTGGTGTATGCCTATAGTCCCAGCTATTTGGGAGGCTGAGACAGGAGCATTGCTTGAACCCAAGAGGCAGAGGTTGCAGTGAGCTGAGCTCACGCCACTGCACTCCAGCCTGGCACCTGGCAACAGAGCGAGACTCTGTCTCAAAAAACAAAAATAAAATAATAATAATAATAAATAAAATAAATTACCCAGTCTCGGATATGTCTTTATTAGCAATATGAGAACAGATGAATACATTCCCTTATCCAGGTGGGCCACAAAGGCTCAGAGGGTCCTACAACTCACCATGGGTCTCATCATGTTTGTTCTCTTCAGGCCTTATGGCCCACACCTTAAAAAATGTTAGGCACTATCAGAGAAAGACCTGTTTTCAAGAAGTCTACCCTGAAATCCCTTCAATCATATAGTCATTGAGGGCCTATGAGCGGGGGAGACTCTAGACCACCCATAGGAGATCAATTATACCGATGAGATCATTCTCATTGGGACAGGATAGATCTCTCCTTTTGCCATTTTTTTCCTTCCTTATTTTCCCTATTCTCTTGTAATTGTCATAATAGGACACTGAGGGTTTGGAAGGTTTTAAAATTTGTTAAAGGAAAAAACTTTTCTTGTCACATGAAATTATTATGCATCATTTTATTGAACCCAATGAATGGAATGGAATAATCCAAACTATTTCTGCTGCAGACTTGGCTGCCAGAGCCCTTGGTTGCTGAGTTTAGTGATCAATCACAGTAACCAGCTCATTCCGGGTACATCTGGTGCTCCTAATAGATGTCTGACCTGGCATCTGCTTTTATGCCTTATATCTTGTTGTATCCTGAACTTAAATTTCATAAGTGATCTTTGTGCTGTGCAGGAAACTTTCATTAGCCTAACAGAGTTGGGAAATCTAGATGTTATTCCCAGTTCTGCCTGACTGACCAGTTCCACCTTGAGCAAGACATTCCCTCTATCTGGGCCCCATTTCCTCATTTTGAAACCTATCTGTGTCTCCCAGATGTTCCTGTCACAGAATCAGCTCTAGTGCTTGTTAAATATACAAAGTCCCAGGCCCCTTCCCTCAATGAGGGGTGGGAACAGGGAGCAGGAATCTGTATCTTTAAACCAAGCACGCTGGTGGATTCTAATCATCTGTCAAGTCTGAAAAACACGAACACCAGATGGTTACCAAAGTTCCATTCTATGCTATGATCTATAATTTGTACAAACAATCTCTGGGAAGAAAGAAGATGAAGTTTGGTACAGATTTTGAAATCACATATCTTTTTTTTAGTTTATTATGATCCTCAGTTTCCACTTACAAACACACACGAGGGGAACATTTTGTATTTTCGTTTGCAAGGTAAAAAAATCCAACCCAGGTGCTTGTTCCTCCTGTGGCTTTCCATTGGATTTTTACCAGGGTTGGGCCCCCTACTCCTGCCCATGGAGGCGGTGCTTCCTAGAAAGCTCAACAAATGTTTCCCCAGACACCTGCATGACTCATTCCATCACCGCCCTCTCTTGGGTGTTGACTCAAATGTCGCCTTATCAGTGAAGCCTTCCATGGGCTAATAGCACAGCTCCCTCTCCAACATTTCCTATCCTCCTCCCCCACTTTGTTTTTCTGCTTAGCACTCATCACTATTTAACCCACTGGAAATTTTACTTGTTTATTTTGTTTGCCATCTGTCTCCCCCACCAGAGATAAGCTCCTCAGGGACTTCTCTCTGTTGTGTTCCCTGCTATAGCCTCAGTGCCTGAGCTGAGACATAGAGGGTGCTCAACAAATATCTGTGGACTTAATCAACGGAATGCTTGCTGGAAGAAGGAAGGAATGAATGAACTTCCTGGAATGATGCAGACTGTCTGCACAGTCATAGGGACAGCCCCTGTAACCCCAGGCCATGCTCCAGCCTTCCCACAGCTGTGCTCCTCGCCTCTGGGCTTGTGCACACACTGGTCATGTCTGAACCCCATGACTGAGTTTTCCCTTAGGTGACTGCATATCCTCCATCCTCTGTGGGAGAGCCGGTGGGTACATGCCGCTCCACCCCTGCTCACAGCACACCCCTTGATGCCCAATGCTCTCTATATCCTTTCACCCTAGCTGTTCCCCACCCTTTTTACTCTCCCACCAGGACCAGTGAGACCTTGGTTGCCTTTGCTCCAGTAGGGATTATCCAACTCCCAGCCACCCTCCTGAACCTTTCTCTAAAAACAAAATTTTTTGTCTAGGCGCAGTGACTCATGCCTGTAGTCTTAACCCTTTGGGAGGCTGAGGGGGGTGGATCACTTAAGCCCAGGAGTTCGAGACCAGCTTGTGCAACATGATAAAACCCAGTCTCTACAAAAAAAATACAAACATTAACAAGGTATGGTAGTACACAGCTACTCAGGAGGCTGAGGCTGGGGGATCACTTGAGCCTGGAAGGTGGAGACTGCAGTGGGTCAGGATCATACCCTTGCACTCTAGCCTGGGCAACAGAGTGAGACCTGTCTCAGACAAACAAAAACAATTTCAGCCTGGCAACAAAGCAAGTCCTCATCTCGACAAAAAGAAATTAAAAATTAAGAATTAGCTGAGTGTGGTAGCACATGCCTGTAGTTCTAGCTACACGGTAGTCTGAGGCAGGAAGATTGCTTGACCCCAAGAGATTAAGGCTGCAGTGAGTTATGGATTGCATCATTGCCCTCCAACCCTTGTGACAGAGCAAGACCAAGTCTCAAAAATAAATAAATAAAATGTTATTCTTTCTTTCTTTTTTTTTTGCAATGTTAATTCACTTTATTTTTCTTGTATAAACACCCTATGTTGTAGCCACAGCTGGGGCTTGGGTCCTCCGCACGGAGACTCTGGTGTGGGTCTTGACGAGGTGGTCAGTGAATTCCTGATAGGGAGACTTGGTGAATACAGTCTCCTTCCAGAGCAGGTGTCAGATAGCTGTAGGTCTTAGAGATGGCATCAAAGGTGGTCTTGGAGAAGTTGCCCAAGGTGGCAGTGCAGCCCCTAGCTAAGGTATAGCAGTCACTGATACCAGCCATCATGAACAGCTTCTTGGGCACAGGAGCTGAGACGATACCAACGCCCCTGGGCACAGGGATGAGGCGCACCAGCACAGAGCCACAGCGGCCTGTCACCTTGCAAGGGACAGTGTGGGGCTTGCCAATCTTGTTCCCCCAGTAGCCTCTGCGCACGGGGACAATGGGGAGCTTGGCCAGGATGATGGCCCCACGGATGGCAGTGGCCACCCTTGGAACACTTATCATCCAGAACGACGTGACCATTGTAGTCCCCAATAGCAACAAACGCCTTGAACTTGGTGCGCTGGCCAGCACGGGTCTGCTTCTGCAGCGGCATAATCTTCAAAACCTCATCCTTGAGAGAGGCCTCCAGGAAAAAGTCAATGATCTCAGATTCCTTGATGGGCAGAGAGAAGAGATAGAGCTCCTCCAGAGATTTAATCTTCATGTCTTTGACCAGGCAGCCCAACTTGGTGACAGGCATCCACTCCTTATCCTCAGCTTTGCCTCCGCGAGCTCCGCGGCCTCGGCCGGGACCCCGGTCCCGTCCCCGGATGCCACTGCAGAAACCTCCTGGGAAGAATCCGCGGTTCCCCATCCCAGGGAGGGCCACCGGGGCCTCCGGTTCCCACCCCCACCACGCTGCACCGGCGTCATCCGCCATTTGGTATTATTCTCATTATTAAAAAGGCAGCTGCTAGCACCGGGCCTGGTGGCTCATGCCTGTAATCCCAGTACTTTAAGAGGCCGAGGCAGGCGGATCATCTGAGGTCGGGAGACAAGCCTGACCAACATGAAGAAACCCTGTCTTTACTAAAAATACAAAAAATTAGCTGGGCGTAGTGGTGCATGCCTATAATCCCAGCTACTCAGGAGTCTGATGCAGGAGAATCTCTTGAACCCAGGAGGTGGAGGTTGCAGTGAGCCAAGATCTCGCCATTGCACTCCAGCCCAGGCACCAGGCAACAAGAGCAAAACTCCATTTCAAAAAGAAAAAAAAAAAAAAGGCAGCTGCTTGCACCTAGAGGGATGAAACAGAGTCCCAGAGCTATGAGGGAGGTGGGATTAAGCAAGGTCCGTTAACTTGAGTCTCTTGCGCTGGGGCCC